CACTTGTTTGTTGATTTATTGATGGTAGTCATTTTGAGAGATGTGAAGTGATATCTCATTGCGGTTTTAAATAGCATCTCTCTGATGATTAATGACATTGAGCATTTTTTCATGTCTACTGGCCATCTGTATGTCCTTTTTGGGGAAGTGCCTATTCAGGTTCTTTGCCCATTTTTTAATTAGGTTGTTTGAATTCCTGGTGTTAAGTTGTGTAAGTTCTGTATATATTCTGGAAATTAACTCCTTATCAGATGTATCATTGGCGAATACGTTCTCCTTTTCAGTGGGTTCCTTTACCTGTTCTACTACATTGTTGTAAAGGGGTTAAAGGTTAGCCCTGCCCCTATGGAATCTTTTGGAAATTTCTACCTTTACTAAAGGCCTTAGAAATGCACAGTTTAGGACACTGCTATTGTGTTTTTTGTTTTCTATTCTTAGTCTTTCTCACTGTGTGTTTTAGTTTCGGTAGGTTCTATTGTTTTGTCTTCAGTGCCATAGATTTTTTCTCCTACAATGTCCAATCTTCTGTTAAAAATAGCTAGTGAATTTTTTCCTTTCAGGTAGTGTATTCTTCAATTCTAGAATTCGATTTGGTTCTTCGGTATATCTTCCATTCCCCTCTTCCTCATCTTCACATTTTTCTTTAAATCCTTGTGTATATTTCTAATACCTTTTTAAATATTCATCTGCTAATTCCATTCTCTCTCATTTCTGGGTTTGTTTCTATTGATTTTTTTTTCTCATTACATTTTCTTATTTGCGTATCTACTAATTCTTTGGGTTTTTTTATTGTATTTTTTCTATTACCATTTATCCTCCTTATACGCTCTTCCACCTATACCCACTCCCTCTACTAATTCTTGAATTTTATGTTGTTGAATATCTCTATTTTGTTGCTATCATTTAAAAACTGATGAAATATATTGTGCCTGGCAGTTATGGTAATAGTGAATGAAGCTGTTCTTTTTGAGGCTTGTTGATAAACTTTCTTGGGGAAATATTTACAGGTACTTTTACTCTGGGGCTAATTTAGTCCTTCTACAAATGCATAACTTTTATGGAGTTTCTACTGAATCCTCTGGACATTCTACAAGGTCTCTTCCTAATGACTGGTTGAAACTCAAACATCTCCCAACTCTGTGTGAGACCTGGGAACCAACCAGTTCACATTCCCTGGCAGCTCTTTGCCTAGCATTGTGGAGTCTCACTCTCTGCATGTAAAATTCAGAATCAGTTGTAAACTCAAGAGAATCACAGTGGTACTCCATCTTGAAAAGTCTCTTCAGCTTTCTTCTCAACTCAGCAAAGCCACTGTGGGCTACTTCGGTTCCCCCTCACTGGGCTGCAATTCAGAAAGTACTTCCGGCAAAAAGTTAGGGCGATAGTAGAGCTTGCCTCATGTTCTCCTCTTTCAGGGATCACGGCCCCATGCTATGTGTTGTCCAATCTCTGAACACAGTGGCTTCATATATTTTTGTGCAATTTTCTACAGTTACCTACATCAGGAAGGTATTATAGGTTGAACGTGTGCCCTGCAAATGTGAATGTTAAAACCTAAAGTCCAAAGTGTTGGTATGAGTAGGAGGGCCCTTCTAAAGATGACTGGGTCACCAGGGCAGAGCCTTCATGAACGGGATTAGTGCCTTTGTAAAGAAACTCAACAGAACTCACTAATCCCTTCTGCAATGTGAGGATACACCAAGAAGTCTGCAACCCAGAAGAGGGCCCTCAACAAACCACACTGGTACCCTGACCCTGGACTTCCAGCCCCCAGCAATATGAGAAATACATTACTGTTTTTTATAAACATAAACTACCCAGTCTGTGGGATATTGTTACAGCAGTTGAACACACTAAGACAGAAGGTAGATACAATACCAGGTACTTGGGTGTAGCAGAAATGGGAACCTCTGCATGAAGCACAATCAACATTATAGTTCCCATTTAAATACACATCAGCTCCCCTGTACCACTAATTCTGCACTCTGTCCACCCTAGATGGTTCACCGTTCCCAAGAAGTTGTGTGTTGTTCTTTCTTGCCCTGGTTTGTGGCTGTCTTTTCCAGGTACTCTTATCTTGCTCCTCTTACTGTCTTAAACCCCAGGCCAATGACACTGTTCGGCAAATCCTGCCTCAGAACACCCAGAGCTAGTCAGGGAATAACAGCCTCCCCTGCACTTCCAGAAGCCTGTTCTTTAACCTCTGCTACGGCACTGATCACATTATATAGCAATTATCTATTGCTCATCAGTTCCTTTCCACCCCCTCCAGAAATTGTGGCTTTCTAGCTCTTTGTCCCCTGCCCTGGAATAAAGCCTGGCATCTAGTAAAGCCTGATAAAGGCTTGTTAAATAAAACACTGGTTGAGTCAATAAAGAGTAGGAACTACAAGAAAAAGAAGAGGCTAAGGAGATATTCGCTGTTGTCACACAGACCACTGTTTCGATATTTGCAGTTGACACAAAAGGAGAAAAGCAAGCACAGACCCTATAGAATGCTTAGACACAAAGTTGATTTCTCTCTCTCAAATCTCTGAAATTTGAGAATTGTTGTTGTTGTTTTTACCACTTGAAGCATTATCCTCTTTGCCCATAGGAAAGTGAGGTTTCTGTTAAGATCGGTTTGATCCTTCCAGCTAACCCATCTGTGGGCTGATCTGGGTCATCCAGGATAATTCCCGCCTCCCACTCCACATACAAACTAGTGGAATCAGCCAGAGCTCTAAGTATTCCTGGCAGACAGTTTTGGTTTCTGTGGGCCAAAGGGATGAGGTCACCTCATCCAATGAAGTCACCTCTGCATGATTCATCTGACATCAGTTCCCCACGTGAAGTGCTCTGACACTTTCAGAGCCTGTCCCAGACGATCTAGAAGCTGGGGTCTCTGACATTTTTCAAGGTTCTGATGCTGATCCTGCAGCCCCCTGGACCCCTAGTAAATGCCTGCCCCAATACGAACTGGGAGGCCAGAGTCCTGAACTGGGGCCTCCTGTTCAGGAGCCTCCATCCTCCAGTTCTGGGACAGACTTATCCCTCATAAAGGCCTTCACCATGTCTCCAGCAACTGCTTATCCCCTTGCCTCGAGGCTGTTGTTACCAGGAGCTCTCAGGACACATTTTAAAGCACCCTCGAGCTCTCAAGGCTGGGATCCGATCTCACTTTTATGGATGCTCCCACATTCACAGATGAGAAAGCTGAGGCCCAGGAAGTGGACCTCTAACTAGCATCACAGCTGGGACCCAATGCCCTCTCCCGGCTGAGTACGCTCCAGTAGATCCTGACCTCTTCTCACAGAGCTTCCTTTCAGAAAACAAATCCCCGAAAATGCTGCCTTAAGAAATGGTCCTGTAAGCAAAGGGAGCAAGTCCTTTCTTCCCCTCTAAGAAGTGGCAGAAAATGGCCTTGAACCAAGATCTGACCTCAAGGCTGTCCTTCTTGTCATTCATACAAAGTATCTTCCCAATTCATTGCATAATCCAAAGCAACAGGCAGTGCGAATGCCCACCCACACTTAGACACATTCGGAAGGGTCTGGTGAGATCTTGAGTGCGATTCCCCAGAATCTACCAATAAATAATCCAGGAAGTCCTCCTGGGATGATGGAAATCAGATTTGGCGTTTGAGAGTTGAGGCCTCGGAAGTGAGGCACAGGGACATCATAGTGAGCATTTCCCAAACTGAAATGTCCTTAAATGCTGGAATTAGCTGGAAGCTTTTGGGATAACCACTTCACCTCTCTAGGTCTGTTTGCTTACCTACAACCTAAGGGGGTTAAGGAAGATGGTCAGGTTGACCTCTGGGCTGCCTCTCAATGCAAATAAATGAAAGGAAGTGGGTTATCTTACATCAGCAGAGGTGGGGTAGAGTGCTAGCGTGGAGCGTACCCACTCTCCTCCACCTCTCTCCCCCAATACCTAATGTTCAAAGCAGCACTATTGGTCTGAAGGGGACCTGGTGGTTCCAATCTTTGCCCAGACAGCGGGACAGTGGTTGCTGCCTGGATCACAGGCCAAGGGTGTATCACTCCTCAGGGACCACAACCTAACACCCCCGAGGAGGGCACTGGGGACTGCAAGGGGGCCTCAGATAAAGTCTCCTCCAGGGGGAACAAAGGTACATTTGTCGTGTCCACAGCCGGCGGTGTCTTCTTTTTCTGGCTATTGTGGGGTGCTTCAGTGATTCAAGATGCTGTAACTCCCTTAGTCACCAGTGTCATAGTAGATGATTCAAGCTGCTGCGGTGAACAGCATGGTGGCTGTGGGAAGGTGGCCGAGCAATAAGCCAGGAGTCCCTGCTTTCCAGCCCAGGGAGCACCACCCTCCTCCCCATCACTTCACGCACCTTAAAAATTTTTTTGTTTGACCATCCTGGTCTTTCTTCCTTTCCGATTTCTAGTTCTGTTGTGCACTTAGAGGCCCATGGGATGGCTCCTGCCCTCCGGGTGGAGTTTAAATCTATATGTATAATTTTGCAAGACTATTGCGTCATCGTTGGAGTCGTCGTAGCTCCCCAAGAGGCCTCCTTGTCTTCTCCCAGCATTAGGGCCTTTGGACGCTTCCGGGCGCTGCGGGCACTTTCGCGAGGAGCCCTCGGCTCCTCCCAAGCGCTTCTCTCCCGGCCCCCTCCCCCAGCCTTACCTTTCTCCCCTCCCTGCTCCTCGGCTCCTCCTCCTCGCCCCCTCTCCGCGGCCCTAGCGGGGAGTCAAGCTAGGGTGAGGCGGAGAGACCGAGAGGCGGCCGCGGGCGGGGCGCCTGAGCCGGTCGGCGGGCGCTGGCGGGCGACCCGCACTCGGGGGAGGCGCCTCGGCCCGCCCTCCTCCAAGGCCGGGCGCGGAGGGGGCCCGGACCCGCGCTGGGCGGGGAAAGCCGCCTGGCCCCTCCCCTGTCTGCCCTCCCCAAAGTTGCGGTCTCCCCCGGGGCCCGACAGTCTTATGATCCAGCGGATCCTCCCGGGGAAGCCGGGCCGGGGAGAGGGCGCGGGCATCAAGCGGCGGGGGCAGCAGGCGGGCGCGGCGACCGGGGCCCGGGCGGGGATCCGGGCAGTGACCGAGGCGGCGGCAGCGCCCCGGGCCCGCCGCCCCCTCCCCTTGGGCGGGGGGAGCCGCTGCATGGGGCCGGGGGGACGGCCCTGCTGCGCGGAGCGGCGGCGGCGGCGGACCCCCCAGGCGGGCTGGGGTTGAGCCCGGTGCCGGGGCGGGGGCTCCGGGGGGACCATGCCCGGAGGCCGGCCGGCCGCAGCATGGCTCACGGGCCCGGCGCGCTGATGCTCAAGTGTGTGGTGGTCGGCGACGGGGCGGTGGGCAAGACGTGCCTACTCATGAGCTATGCCAACGACGCCTTCCCGGAGGAGTACGTGCCCACCGTCTTCGACCACTACGCAGGTAAGCCTCGGAACTGCTGACTAAGGGGCTGCTCCCCGGGCTGGGAACTTTGGAGCAACTTTGGCTGAGCCCCCTCGCTGCCTCCCCTGAGCGCTCTCCCCACCCCTCCCCCGCCGCACCCTCCGCGGGGCTGCCGGCCCCACCCCCGGGCTTTGCCTCTCACCATCCCCTTTGCTGGCAGATTGGACCCCTCTTCCTATCCCCACTCGGCGCCCAGTGCCAGCTCCCCGCACTTCCCAATCCCCTTGGCGCGCTAGGGCGACCTCCTTGACCTTCCCACAACCGCCTCTTCTACTGCCCCAAGCTACCGGGGAAACATTTGGGGGGCCCGGCAAGGGAGACGTGGCTAAGGGACTTGGGAGAAGGGAGTAGGCTGTAGCTGTGGGCCACCTCGTACCCCGACCTCACGCCACTTCACTGTGAGCCAGGCACAAGGGAAAAGGGGTAGCATCTCCCTGCAGCGCCCTCATGCCTCCAGCTGGGTTGGAAGAGGAAGGTCCTGGTGGGGAGCGAAATTGCCCCAGAGTCTTAAGTAATTGTGAGCTTTTCTCCCTGCCTCCACTTCTGCCCTTGCAGTCAGCGTCACCGTAGGGGGCAAGCAGTACCTCCTGGGACTCTATGACACGGCCGGACAGGTGAGTGTCTTGGCCCCTGGCCTACACCCCCTTCCCTTTCCAGATTCAGGGTGCCTGCGAAGGGCCGTCGGAAATTGAGGTGTCTAAGGAGGGGCGTGACTTCGAGGGGCTGCTCTGAATCAAGTCTTTATTTCTTTTTTAAAGTCAGCAAATTAGGAAAAGGGAAAAAAAGCCAACAGCAACCCCAGACCAGCCCATCCCATGTGAACCCCTGGGCTTTAAAAGTTTTTGTCTGTGTGTGCCTTCCGTATGGTGCTTGGTGTGTGGGTCCCAAACTCCTGTTGCATAGTGGCAGCGGCCAATCGTGAAGCGCCCTTATTTTTGGTTGCAGATGACCAGGTCTCCCCCTCACAGCTTCTGTCTGGTCCCTCATTGGCGAGTGGTCTGCCTGCCCGAGGAGCCTGATTGGTGGAAAATGGCATCATCTAATACGATGGGAAGGCATTTGGTCCTGGTTATGTTTATTACAACATCACTGCACTCTGGGACTGGAGTCCCTGAAAACATAATTTGTGGTGTTACCAGGGGACCACAGGGAAAAAGAAAAGAAACAACAACCATTCAGCCACTCCCTGGGGCAGGGAGGGGCAGGAAGGGTTAAGAGTTCAGTGTGAATCTTGGAAGAAGGGCTTTATTTATTTATTTTCCCTTGGAAGGCCAGGTGACTGTCTTTTCTTTTTTCTTTTTTTTTCCCCCTGGGAGAGATTACTGTGCAGAAAGAAAATGCACACTTCTCCCGGCAGCCTCTGACCATTATTTGCAAATTAGAGGTGGCTCCTAAAGGATTAAAGTCTCTTCTCTCTCCCTCTGTCCCAGCACCACCCTTTTCCCAGACCCCTGTTTGCTGTGGAGCTAAGATGATTGTGTCATGAAGTTTTGCAGAATCCAGCCCTGTGATTAGATCTGAAGACTCGGGCAGAAGTTTCCACATGTCATGCAGACTTGAGTCCTTGAGGACATGTGAGCGGCTGAAGGGCTTATTGAGTGACTTTGGGGGCTGTCCAGTTGTAGCTTCCTTATCTGTTAAATGGGGCTTAGCACTGAGTCAGGCGCATACTGGGTAGGTGCTCAATAAAGGGGAGTTGTTCTTTGTGGCTTTTCTGGTTTTGGATTTCAGAATTATGGTACCAGGTGAGATTCTGAAAAATGTCTTGTTTGGGAGGTGCGTTAATGTGGCCTCCGGGTTCTAAACCCTTAAGTTAGAGCAGCATGTGATGATTGAGAATCTGTTGCAGTGGGAGGTGCCTGAGGCAACCCCCTTTCTCCAGACTGACCCAAGGCAGCTCCAGCAGTCTTTCCAGGGCCCCTTTTGGTTGCCTGCCTTACAATTGTTGTTCCTTCCAGCTATCAGGATGCATGGAGACCACCTTTTAAGCTGTACAGTTAACTTTTAAACAACAGGTTGAAATCATCGGTTGAAAGGAGACAGGTTTTAAAATGTGGTCTCTATTTTTAACTTCTGTTACTACCCCTTCTCTCCTTTTCTCCTTTCCTTGTCACCGTGACCAGGTTTTGACCATGAGCCCCACTGAGCAGGACATGTAAATGTCAGAACTGTTCTGTGCACATTCAGAGCCAACTCATATTTACTGAGTTTCTATTGTATATCAGGCATGGGGCAACCACATGCAATTATTATATTTTCTCCACAAAACAACCTTATGAGATAGGTGATATTTCATCTTTGCAGATGAGGAAACGGGCTCAGAGAGGCGAGGCTGCTGACCTAAGGTCCCAGCTACTGAGAGGTATTGCCGGATATAGGGCATGGGTCTGAATCGGCCCCACTGGAGGTGGTTATGTACACAGGAAGCTGTGGGAGGTGCTGAGATACCAACTGGGTTGATTGAATTGCTTGTGTGTCTGTTGATATGGTATTTGGAATCTTCACAGCCATTCTCTGAGTGGGAGTTGTATGCCACCTTTATAGAGTAGAGAGTCCAGATCCAAAGAGTCACCCAAAATTAGGGCCTTCTCCCAAAACCAAGGCTTTCCATATGTCATCAGAATTGCTGTTTCCCATAGAGATTGTAAGATATATACCAAGTGGGATCAACCTATTAGTGAGGTTCAGATATTAGTTGTTGGCCGGTGGTGGGATACCTCCTCTGTTGGCTGAGATGTGTATTAGACCCCCTTGTTTAGGCTCCCAGTGTCTAAAACTTGTTTTTGGAACAAAGTTAGTGATAATTCATCTTTCAGCACTTGAGGGTTTATAACTAATAAGCAATCTTAGCAAAATAGTCATCAGTGAGATTAAATGGTAAGTGCCTACCTTGTACCTAGCTCTGTGCTAAGCACCTGGGAGGTCAAAAGAATAGATTTTAAGGTCGGGATCTGCCATGGCTGATGACAGCATAGGTGGAAGTGTCTGCATTAGATGCCTGTTCATGCATGTTACGTAGGACATTTCTGTTGTGTTTGGTCATTAAAGACTCCGTGCTTCTATGAATCGGTATCAGATTAATCTTACAATAACAATATTGATAAACACATGCGCAACACGAGAATTTTTAAGCCTGATGGTCAGTAGAGCCATGTGCTTTGGAACCAAACAGGCTTGGCTCAGATCGCTCCCTTGCTGGTCATGTGACTCTAGCTAAGTTATTTACCTTCTTTGTGATCTCATAAAAATGTGGATAATTTGACTCTCTAGTGTTTTAGGCCAGCTTGTATTGTTTAATATATGTAAAAGCATGGACACTGTTCTTGATGCATAGTAGGTGTTTAATATATTATAAGAAATTATTGTGCTCTACCCTGGGCAGCTTTGTGGGGGAAGGGATGCAGATGGAAGAGGACAGCGTATTAGGTCTGGAGCTGATAGCAATGCTACTAGGATTCTGGATCCTATATACTGTTCTCTGGAGAGATATGGGGCCAGCTTTGTACTTTATAATTCGCACAGTCCCCATCATAGACCCATGGATACAGCCAAGTGTTCCCCGCTCTAAGTGCCCTGTTGTGTCATGTGATTTTCTTTCTGAATCAGAACCTGCATCCTCCGTGATGAAATGCTTAGAAAAACTAAGAGTGCAATGTAGACTTTGAGAAACAAGTGGGGTGTGTAGGTTTCAGCTGATTCTACTTTGGGAGGCAAAATGGGATGAGGAGGAAGCTCAAAGCACTGGAAAGCAGTTACTTTCTCCAAAAAGTTCCTTCATGCACATGGGCACTCACTATATTTGAATAACAGCAACAGTACCTCCTTCTGGTCGGAACTTCTAGCCTACGTGCTTATTCTGCTCTGTGTCTGACCCCAGTAAAGGTCAAAGCCGTAAGCAAACATTCACCCAATTTAAATATTAGGGCACTGAAGAGATGACGATACAGCCAAACCTCGTTGCACTTTGCTTTACTGCACCTCACAGATGTTGCCTTTTTTTTTTTCTTTACAAATAGAAGGCAAGACCCTCCGCTGGCAAAAAGATTACAACTCGCTTTATTGCGGTGGTCTGGAACAGAACCTGCAATATCTCCAAAGTCTGCCTGTAGTCGATGACCGTTTGCCTCCCAGAGCAGGCTGCTCCCACGCTGACCTCTGTTGCTATTGAGGGAGAGAGAGAGAAGAGAAAGGGAGTGAGAGGGAGAGGAAGAAATACGAATGTGTGTGTTGGCCAGTGTCAGTGTCCATCACATGTTCTGCCTGGGGACATCCCTCAACACCCCAACACACTCACTAGCATTACTGCCAAAGGGAAGTCCCCTTCCTGGCCAAGCCCCTGGGTGGTCCAGGAGCGGCTGACATTTTGACTGCTAAGCATTTTGCAGTGGAAACTGAAGGCAGTGCCTTCCTCCTCACTGGGGCTTTCTGCAGGGGTCTGGCTTCCGGCCTGGCCCTCTGGAGCTTCTCCTTTCTGCTCAGCTTTCAGGACTTTGGCTGTCAGGACTTCGGCGTAGGCTCTGCAGCAGCCTCACTGTCTGCTCAGGGAGGGACTGGAGAGACAAGATTTCCCTCCTGCCTCTGCACTGTTTGGAAGCACATGGAAGGTGGGAAGAGCGCTCGCTCCTCTATGTGCAGATGAGCGGTGGAGAGCTGCCTGCTCCTGAGCTGCTGGCTCCAGGCTGATCTCTTAATCCTTGGCAGCGAGGCAGAACTTGATACCCCAAAGAGAGAGAACTGACGCCCAGTTTTATCCCAGGTCCCAGAATACCCACACTCAGGAGGGTGTGTTGGGGGTGAGTTTGGGTTCCCTAGAGTTCCAGATTTAGCCACTGCCTCGGTGTGTAGAAGTCCATATGTGTGCTTTTGGGCGTGCTGTTGCTATGTCTGTTAACTTAAACGCACTCAAGTTCAAGGGCGCATACATGAGCGCTATAAATACCCTTTACTCAGGTGTCCCTTGTGGTTGCTTTTTTAGTGACAAGCAAGATCTGTTTCTCACTTGACATAGCCCAGCAGCTGTGTCCGCCCTGCAAGCCCTCCAGGCTCTCAGGGAAGCACTTCCTCCCCAGAAGGGAATCTCCATGGGAGGCAGCCTCCGGAGCAGCCTCAGAATTCCCCGCCCTGTGCCACGTGCGCCGCTTTCGGCACTTCCCGGGCAGCACCCTGGGCCTGGTACTGGCCCAGTACTGGGAAGGGAAAGGGGAAAAGTGGAGGGCCAGGGCGAGCTCCTCCCACCTGCAAGCAGGGCTCCTCACGATACCTTCCCAAGTGGACTGTTCCCAGATGAGGAAATTGGGAGTGAGTGGGCTTATGGAAAACAGACAGAGATGTGATGAGGAAAAAAGTTCACTTTGGTTGGGGGACATCAGTAGGGCTTAGGAAGTGCCAACTCACTTCACCCAGGCCTCACTCAGGTCCCTGCAGCCCCACGTTATATCCATTAGGGGCCCAGGGAGCAGAGTTTAGGAGGAGCTGCGGTGTTCCTTCCAGACATCAGCTGCAACAGGTGAGATGCTGGCACTAAGCATCCTGGTTTCCCTTAGTAACCTACTATAGATTTGTTATCTGTGCATTTTGCTAATCTTTTAAGAAGCTATTTATATCTCCAGCCTGC